GGTGTCGGCTGTGTCTTGCTCCACGTCCCCCGATCCAGGCGCCTGCGTTGGATGTATATGCGGTCGCGGTGTCGAAAGCCGTTTGTTCTGCGGGTTGTTGGCGGTGGGCTTGCGAATGTTGGGCACGAATAGAATGGTCAAACGGGGAGGGACGTTTGGCTGCATTGACTTCAGCATGGTGGCAACGGCGACGCGCATAGTTGTTTGCGCGTTTGCGTCGGGTGTGAATGTCAGATACCAGGGGCGGCATGTTAGGATCGTCGGCATCTTCAAGGTCGTCCTGGGGCCTGGATGGGATAGAATAGTTAGTACCTAGAAAAGCGAACGGAAAAATGACGCACCCAGCAGTTTCTACAGGAACGGGGGAAGGTGTACGCGTGGGGGAAGGTGCGCGCGTTGAAACGGTGCAGTGGTGTGCAGCCGTGAAATCTAATGCTAACTGAGTAAGACCTCAGTCTTAACTCAACCCAACACCAAACTCCAACAACTAACAACAACCAACTCCTGCTTTATCGTATTTGTGTTCGAGGGGGTAGGCCAGGCGTATCGACCGTCAATTTCAATAGTGTGACACTGGTTTGCTTTGAAAAGGTCCTCAGAAGGGCTTTCAATAGGTTTAACAGCCTTTCGGCGACAGGTGTAGATATTCTACTAGTGGTGCACAAAACCGCAATTAAATTGGGATTTTGGCGAACGACAACGCCGCTGGGTAGCTGACTGATTTTACAAGTGGCGGAGGGGCAACTCAAGACGTTCCGTACGCCAGGAGATGGTTCCGCCAAATGGTAAGGTTTTTCCTGGAGCTCAAGATAATTCCTTTGTGTGTGGCGCGACTACAGAGTAGTGGCGCAAGCCGAATGGCGTGGGTTCCGATGGCGCAGAGCAACTCAATGACGTTCTGTACGCCACCAGCTGGTTTCCGCCACACAGAGACCCAAACAGTAACAGCTTTTATGGGAGGTCGTGGTCCCGACCTCAGTGTTTTGAATCAACCACAATTGTCAATGAACAGCGCGGCTACGAATAGCTCTGCAACTGAACAAGATGGATGCCGATGGCGCAGAGCAACTCAAGGACGTTCCGTACGCCGATAGTTGGTTTCCGCCACACAGCAACCCCGATAGGAATGGACTTTGGCGTATGAACAGCGCAGCTACGAATAGCTCTGCGACTGAACAAAGTGGCGGGGGCCGAAGACGGAGGGACAACTCAGGCTTACGCCAAGGGAGTGTGTGCGTCAAACGGGATAAGGACCAGAGGCCTTATAAGCTGCTAAGAGCTAGGTGCCATTAAGGGGGGAGTTATTCACTGTCTAACTACTAATTTACATGCGGCTTTTATACTATGAGAGGGACTGATCCCAACTAACTAAGAGAATGATAAGCGGTCTTTACAAAATGATGAACTGATCTGAAGCGAGATATATCCTGGTAGTTGGGCAGACTTAGAGGTGTCTGCCCGGGTATTATTTGATGGTGTGGCTGCCAATCACCCGCAAGTTCTGTTTAAGCCACCTCTGCTTACAATCTCCTCACGTAGACTCGGTTAGGAGCGTCCGCAGTCCTCCGCAGTCTGATTAGCTGATGGGCTGACTGAGCCTTTTATTATCTCTTGGCACCCAAGTTCAGTGACCACCAACTGCTTTTGGATGAAGTCATGTGATTGCTTTAGGGCCGGTCTATTACAGGTGGCGTAGCCTCTGCGCCAAGTTCAAGTGGCGTAGCCTCTCCGCCAAGTTCAAGTGGCGTGCTCGCACATTATATCTTTTTACAGTTGTGGCGTGACTTCATTTGGCGTAACTTCGGATTGGCGCAGACTTGAACATTGTCATGTGACATGACTGGCTCATTTCTCCCCTCCGCCGTTATTCCATTGGCAGGCACATCTTTTGAGTTCAACTCGCACGCCAAATATTATTATTCTGGTGGCACATGTAGCACTTTGTAGGTTCCAAATCAAATAGCTTTCTTGTTATCCTTCCAATGTCCCTTGGTTGCCTCGTGCCCATATTGACATCGAGCTTGCTGCACACAAGTACAGCTTGCTGGATGAGTCCTATGGCTAGCCAGTGGGGTTGAGTTCGAGTCGCAATCTCTAGCTTTGTATGAAAGTCGCAATGGCATCCTCAGTCTCCTTGGTTTATCACTAGTTTGCAGCACTGCTAACGGCTTGTAGTGCTCAGTTCCGGGAATGTAACTAGCACCCTGAGTGTCTTACGCCTCCCCGCCATAAGGCTGGAAACATGCAAAAGCAGTAATTTCAGGGGTGCACGGATGCACACCCTATCAGCGTGGGGGGAGGCGACACCGTCAGATCGGACATTGGAGATGGGGGACATGAATTGAGCTCTTCAGTGACGTCCTCCCATTCATCTGCATCCTCGTCTCCGGTGAGCTCGTCGCGGTCCAGCGCAGTGGCACGGCGGTCTGCGTTGGCCATAGCAGATTGAAGATGGGGGCCGAGGTCGATGGTGGTGTGAATGATGTCGGATGGCGTGAAATCGGCGAAAATCGAAGGATCGACCACGTACGGGGAGAAGACTCTTCCCGTACGTGTAGTGCGGTCCATTTGGAAGCGTAGTTACTGAGTTATATAGTCAGCTCTGTACCAAAGATCAAGGGTATCAAAATAAAGGTGAGTGGCACCGACATGGCGTGCATACGCGCCCCAGAAGCGCTATAGAACGCTATGGTGAGATTCAGCATACGCCTCTGGGGCGCGTATGCACATCTCGTCGGTGCCAAAGAGTGGGGGAGGGGTATTCAGGAGGAACGACATACCTTTGGGTCAATTGGGATGGTTGGGATAGTGGTGGAGACAAAGAAAAGTTTTAAGCTCGTGGTGATGATCGCCGTTAACTCACCCATCACTAGTGTGACTGCGTGACAAACTGACGTCTTGATATTCTTAGGGACACGATAAATTTACTCCTGCTCACTCCCTGATCCCTCTCTCGAAGCGGAAACTATACCACTGCGATCAGCTAGTCAAACCGGACTCGTCCATACCATTCAAGAGCAAATCCTGGGTGCTCAATTCTTAGTGACCGGACGAATCGACGCAAAATAAGCCGGAGTATACCTCAGGTATGTTCTTAATAGCACGGAACACATCGCCTATGCTAACCAAATTGTTAGATATACACTTTGTCAAGGTTTCGAAGAAAAAGAAATTGAGTCTCGATTCGGTGCTATAGCCTTGTACAAACAAATGACCACCTCTACTCTTTGCTTCCTCCCACCATGGGCACTCGAACGGTCGGCTCTCGAAAGTCCCAGGAAGGCTCAAGCAGCTATAAACCAAGGTAAGTGCCTTCATTCGACCGCATTTCAGGTGCTGATACACTTCACCAAGGCTGAGCGAGGCGGAAAAGGCGAAACGCGCTCGTAAGGCCGTTGCAACTCACTATCGAAAGTGCGGCCCATTTTAAAAACAAATCGAACAGGGACTAACTTAATTAACTCTGCAGTCACCCGGAACTTCGAGAGAAAAATAAATTGGCGAAGAGGGCATCACGGTAAGCTCATAGTATTGGGATCAGTACACATCTAACAACACTTCTCATGGGCCTGCTCCAGCGCTGCCAAGAAATTGGCCAAACGTAAATGGGACCCTCCCAAGAAGCAGAAGGTGGTGACCGAGGAAATTATAAGGTATGTCTGCCTGAGCTTTTACTGGAACACTCCGTTTACTGCAGCAGCGACGAGGAAATTCTGACATCTGACGAGGGATACTTGAAGTTTACCCCTCGCATTTGCGGCCCCCAGACGCCTTCGCCGACCGTCTCCGAGTACGTTCCTTTGAACTTCTGGGGCCGCTGGTCGCTAAGTTTTCAGGCTGTGTGGTGTGCCCTTTGCCGCAGATCCACCGAACGATTTAGAAACTCGGGGTGAAGATAAGGAGGTCGCTTCTCAAGTCCTGACATCCATGTATCTGGTGCATGCTTTGTACGATTTTCATTGAACACTCTGACTTTTTGTTTCTACTTTACCTGCCAGGCGAGGCAGCACCAGATGGAGAGCCTTTCAGCTGAATCGAACAGCGGCACATGTGCGCTTGGCGTCCACGGCCTGATCGGCGCCTTAACAACACCGAAACACAACGGGCGTGCAGGACGGGAATCGAGCAAAGGCGACTCTCTCCCGCCGTCGTCACCACCGCCTATCTCGCCAGCCGACCCACGCCAAGCCCACCAAGTGATTGCGCCGGGGAAGTCGGGGGGCTGGGTATCTCCAGGGGAGTGGGATGACCCGGGATCACCTTTGCCGAGCAGCGCGTACGAGCGCATGCCCTGGCCCCAACTTTTCAAGAGCCTCTTTGGGCCGAAGGGGGACGCGGAGCCGGATGCGGATGATCAGAGTTGGCTAGATGGGGCAGTGGATAATAACTGACAGCCGGATATTAAATATTAGGTACTTTGTTCACAGTTCGACAGATTGCTTCAGAACAAGATCAAGCATCACTTTCCCATCTGATGCGCGTTCGGGCGTGTTTCATAGAGGAGAGGGACGGGGATGAATTGGTACGCAATGTGTAACACGACTACAATAGACAAACAATAGAGTATGAAGTGGGCGTGAATACTGGAACAGAGCGGATGGACAGGGGGGCGGTGCTGTCCTTGAAGGAAAAGACGGCGGCGCTGGAGGCGAAGATGAAGGCGGATGACGACGCTTTTTTGGGTGCGCTGGCGGCGGGGAAGAAGCGCAAGGCGCCTGCGGGGGAGAATGCGGCGCCTGCAACGAAAAGGTGAGCGCATTTTTAAAGGCGGAGGAGGGACTAAGTCTTTTTAGGTCGAAGGTGGCAAAGGAAACGCCGGCGTCGGGGGCAGCGGAAATGGGGCCAGAGACGAAGACGAAGAAGACAGCAGTGGGGCGGGGGAAGCACAAGTAGTCGTATCTAGTGTCACGTATGTATGCGGACTTAGTATGCGGACTTAGAATAAATCAGGACAGAATAAATCAAGACAATGTATAATTTAATGGGGCAGATCTAGGACCGCTCTGGTAGCTCAGTTGGAAGAGCGGTGCCAGTTGGTGACGAATTGGATAATCTCGTTCAATGCACTGGCACATGTTCGAACCATGCCCACAGCGTAAAGTTCTTCCTCGCTTTTTATTATTGCAGTGTAACTTGTTGCGCATGAGTTCGAGCCTCCCTTTGAAGGGTTTTTTGTGGTCGTTGCTTTCTTTTTTTACTGAAGACCGGAAGACAGGGATATGTAGATTGAGAGGGTAATATACATAATTAAGATACATAGAGTCTAAGGGATGGTGGGGTTGCAGCGTCATAGAAAATACAGCATCACCGCCGAGGGGGGCAGGATGCGCACGAACAGGCAGGCGTACAGGGTCCAGTACACGTTCAAACGCAGGGGCTGGGTGCACCCGAGCATCCCCTGCAACGGCAGTAGGGCTGGGACGCGCAAGGGCGGCGTGGGCGGGGCGGGATGGGGGGGTGGTAAAAGCGGCGGTGCGCACGAACGAGCAGGCGTACGGTCTCCAGCACACGTTAAAACGCAAGGGCTGGGTGTACCCGAGCGTCCCCTGCAACGGCGGTAGGGCTGGGGCGCGCAAGGGCGGCGCGAGCGGGGCGGGATGGGAGGGGGCGGTAAAAGCGGCAGTGCGCACGAACGGGCGGGCGTACAGCGTCCAGTACATGTTCAGACACAAGGGCTAGCTTTACCCGAGCGTCCCCTGCAACGGCGGTAGGGCTGGGGCGCGCAAGGGCGGCGCGAGCGGGGCGGGATGGGGGGGGCGGTAAAAGCGGTGGTGCGCACGAACGAGCGGGCGTACGGTCTCCAGCACACGTTCAAACGCAAGGGCTGGGTGTACCCGAGCGTCCCCTGCAGCGGCGGTAGGGCTGGGGCGCGCAAGGGCGGCGCGAGCGGGGCGGGATGGGAGGGGGCGGTAAAAGCGGCAGTGCGCACGAACGGGCAGGCGTACGGCGTCCAGTGTACGTTCAAACGTAAGGGCTGGGTGCACCCGAGCGTCCCCTGCAACGGCGGCAGGGCTGGGGCGCGCAGTGGTGGCACGAGCGGGGGCGGGATGGGGGGGTACGGTAAAAGCGACAGTGCGCACGAACGGGCAGGCGTACGGGCTCCAGTACACATTCAAACGCAAGGGATAGGTGTACCCGAGCGTCCTCTGCAACGGCGGTAGGGCTGGGGCGCGCAAGGGCGGCGCGAGCGGGGCGGGATGGGGGGGCGCGGAAGAGCTGGGCCGAGGCGAGCAGGGGGTGTGCGGCGTCGAGTACCACCTTGGACGAGAGCCAGAGGCATATAGATGCTGATAGTAGAGTAGCGAGGGGAGGGGGGAAGCAGGAGCCGCGTAGGACGAGCGCCGGGTTTGGGGGAAGCAGGAGCCGCGTAGGACGAGCGCCGGGTTTGGGGGAAGAAGCAAGAGGGTATAATCATAACATGCGCAAACAGCGCGCTCTCACCCAAATTGGCGATCTTTGCCTCGACCCTGCGCAACACCCTGCTGAGAAATGAGGGAGGGAACACCTGTGATATGATGGCAGGACATAAATCTAGGAGCCACCAGGAGGACCAGGCAGCGCGTGCCCGAGCGAGCGCGCGCTAAAACAGGTAAGTGCGGTGGGGGCACCGCCACCCACCTACTGCCCGCCAACAGGCACGGCGAGAGCGCCGGCGCACGTGGGAGCAGCCAGATTAGGAAGAGCAACCTGATATAGACTGTACTCTAAGGTGATATATCACGCACGTCTGTGGAACACAGGCCGTGATACATCACGACCCAACTCACACCACAACGCCGTGATACATCACGACCCAACTCACACCACAACGCCGTGATATATCCAAAGTCCACTATCCGCTGGGTCGCATAGGATTCCCACGTAGCCACGTCTGCTCGTTAAGCTGCCATAACCCTCCTCCTCTCTCCCCGACCCCCGTAACTCCAGCTAACAACACACCTCTTTCCTTTGCCCACTATGTTTGCTATGCTCACGAAGTTTGAATTGAAAAGCAATCGCGTCAAGGGTGCGCGGCTAAACATTTCCTCCCATTCACATCTCAATGTCCGACAGGTTCTCGCATTCCACTTCCCAGTCTTTGCTTGCCACCGTCTTCACTCACCCGTGCGCCGTCCGCGCTGCCACGCCCTCTGGTGTCAGCTACGCCATGTTCCATCCTACCCTCCCGCTCATTATTTCCGCCGCCGACGACCGCACAATCAAAATATGGTGAATGAGCGAGACCAAGGCTTGGGAGGTCGACTCTTGCCGTGGTCACTTCAACAACGTCTCCACCGCGCTTTTCCATCCCAAGCATCAGCTGATCGTGTCCTGCGGCGAGGACAAGACTGTTCGTGTGTGGGATCTCGCAAAGCGCACCGCCATCCGCCGCGAGAACGACCGCTTCTGGGTACTCGCCGCGCATCCCAACCTCAACCTCTTCGCCGCTGGGCACGATAGCGGATTGATCGTCTTCAAGCTCGAACGTGAACGCCCAGCATTTGCCGTGCACCAGGACTCGCTTTACTACATCCGAGACAAGTATGTTCGGTCGTACGACTTCAACACGGGCGCAGATCTCGGATTGCTGTCAGTCCGCAAGTTCGGCAGCCCGTACGTCCCTCCTAGGACATTGAGCTTCAACCTGGCGGAGCGGGCCGTGCTCGTAACGATTTCGTCCGACAACGGGCTGTACGAGTTGACGGCGGTGCCGCAGCAGGCCCAGGGCGAGGTCAAGGATTCCAGCGTCGATGGGAAGAAAGGTGCAGGATAAAGTGCAATTTTTGTGGCAAGGAACAGGTTCGCGGTTCTGCAAAAGGCTACGCAGGTTAGTACTCCCTTTCGACTCCAACCTAACCCATTCATTTACCAGCCCGCGTCTCCCTCCCTCAGTCCCTCGAAACATCACATATCCCTTTCGAACGGTACGACTACGCCAAGGTCCTCGGCGCGTGCTGAGAGAACGTCGTTGGGTGTGTCTCGCTCAATATACGTACATTCTCAGTAAACTGACGCCACCCCCAGCTACATCCCCATCCCTTTTGGCATCACAGGCCCGCTGAACATAGACAGCATGTCCTTCTACATCACGGTGGCGACCGCGAGGAGGTCGCTCGTCGCGTCGACGTCGTGCGGGTGCAAGGCGCTCGGACGCGATGACTCGCAGGTCCGCCATTGACTTCCCCTCCACCGTCGAGGCCGTGCGCGCCAAGGCGTGGAACGCGAGCTCCGAGGGCCACGGCGCGCTCAAGGCCGCATTCGAGAGCATGTCGCGCTTCGCACGCTTCCCAGGCTCTAGACCACCATGGCCGGCCGCGCGCTGTTCGTGCGCTTCGTGACCACGACAGGCGACGCGATGGGCATGAACATGGGCACGGAGAAGGCGCTCGAGCTCATGCAGCTCGAGTTCCCCGAGATGGTTGTGCTGGCGCTGAGCGGGCTGGGGTCCCTCTCTCCTCGGACGACGAAGCTAAACAGGTGGGGTTATCACCTCGTTTCCCGTTGACTACTGCTGATTGTTATATCCTTTCGCGCCGTGCAGAATCCCATTGGGAAGGTATGCTTATACCGCAGGTCTTCAGTTTGTAGTGCTGTGTCCTGTATCCCAATATATATTAAGGCTACTAAACAAGTAGCCTATGTTCCAGTTTTTGGTTCCCGAAGGACGCGGAAAACGAACATAGGCAACTTGTTTAGTTGCCTAACTTCGCTCTCTCTCCGCTTCCGCTTGCTCAGAGTCCGCTAGAGCGTTCCTGTTGCGCACAACATGTCTGCGTCTCCTCGCTATCCCAGAATCATGGAGGAAGAGGATGAGGATGAGCTTTACCAACCAATGTTGGGTGCTCCTTTTGCGGGCAATGGAATCCTCGAGGGTATGGAGCTGTTTGACACAGATCGAAGACACGATGAAGCACCCACTGCATACAACCAACAAGCACGACCAGACCGTGTTTACCCATCTTTGAACCACTCTCAAGAGCAACAACTGCCTAGCAGTAGCCAAGGATTGCATACAGATATTACCGGTGCGTCTTATTCTTGCCAATCTCCACGTCCTAATGCTTATTCCTTTCAAGGTTTGAGTCAGCCGATAGTATCGGGTCCGAGCCTACCTTCCCTGGTATCCAGCATGGAGGAATCATCAGCGGTCAGTGGGGAAGGAATGAATAGAACAGACGTGCAAGGTCTGTATGCTTTGATATCCTTCTTGCCTTTACTTATGCTATCATTCAGGCTCGAGACCTGTCATAGTTGTGCACAATGACTTCGGGGCAAACGATTTCGGGGATCAAATGGCAGATCATCGATACATTGGTGTGTTTCGATAAAGTTGTCTTTTGGTGTTCCTAATGTAAACCGTGAACTAGCTACTAGTCGTACGCCGCTAGCGGGACCTTCTCAAGTCGCAAATAACATTCCAAGTATGTCGTTATTCTCGGTGATTTCCTTTTTCACTAACATGAACAAGCATCTCTGCCCGGCCCACGCTTGTACGGGCGTCCTTTGCACATTGTAGCTGAGAAGCCTCCTTTGATGAGTGAGGAGTTCATGTGGTCTGAGGATATTATGTCCAAGGCTCCACGGCCCTCAGCGACTATCGTTCCAGCCCCTGCAGCAATACCTCCAGTTGGCTACGTGTATCCACAAGCCCCCGAATATACCTGCAATGAAACCGTGGACCGACGTTGGACCTCCGGCTTCGCTTATACCACACTCTTCACCCCTTTGACAAAGGGCTTACTCCGCTCTCGCCTGCTCCAGACCAAAACCCCCCCAAACGTGGTTCCACGTCTGTATGAGGGGAAAATTGTAGTCGATCCGATAGCTGGGATGATTCAAATGCCGGGTAGCATCCCATTTGTGCAGCATACCGAAGGAAATCCAGACGAAGCGGTGACCATGGCTTGCGCTCATAGTTTGGCGTCTATTCGGGCGCTATATCCCGGAATCGCCGATGAGGTGGAGAACCTCTTCATTCAGCTTCGAGATGCTACATTTGGCAGGGAGGGCAAAGACGGGCAACTGCCTATGATCCCCATCTATGCTATTCCCGGGCTTAAGCGCAATGATTGCTCGGTCGATGCGAAGGATCTTCCTCCTGGCTCGTTCGACGGCT